TGCAAGATGTTAAGATGATATTGCGCCCGGCGGGAGCCACATGTTGAGACACATATCCGATCGAAATGCTGCTGACGCTTCTGCGTGGTGAAAGAAAACGGATTGCAAAACGGCCGCTCATCACCCGTGTAGCTGCTGGAACACTCCAGATTCAGAAACACAGGCCGTGAGGCAGCAGTGGGCGAAACGCCCAACCCGCCCAAGCAGCGGGTCTAAGAGTGATACGGCGAAGAGACATTTAATAAGGAGCCACGGGAAGCGGGGGGGAGGAGAAGGAGAGAGAGGAGGGGGGGAAAAGGAACGAAAACTGGGGCTGCCCGTGCAGAGTCCCGTCCTTCTCGAGATTTCTCCACCCGTTGCAGATTCACGGCGGAAGGCGCCAAGTTTGCGAAGACGAGCGCCCCATGGACTTGCCATGCAAGCGGAAGCCTGGTCTTGAGACGGATCCGCCCTCCGCTCGTCTAGCTGACAAAACAAGAACAAAAACAAGTAGGCCCCGACAGAAAGTCGAGGGGAACTGTAAGGCCAGAGCCACGTTCAGAAGAGGAGCCGTCGCCTGTCCGTGCAGATGGAGCGGGGGTTCATGAACTTCTGGCCATGCAGATTGGGAACGACCAAACGTGAGTCTCATTCTGAAATGAAGCCGACCTCCATCCGCGCGGCTGCTGCACCCTTTTCAAACTCTCACCGTACATGTTGAAGTCGAATTAAAAAGCGAGACCCCAATCGTGAAGAACTAGCCGCATTCCGTCCGCGCACGTGCTCGGGAATTTACCATGGATGTGCGCGGTGCCGAGAGAACTACGTTCCGACAATAAACCGCTCTACACCCGTGCAACGGACGAAAGAACGCAAGAACCACCATGTGCGCGACTCTGAGGCGAAAACCGCCTTCAGAAAATGGACTGCCCTCCATTGCAGAAAGATCTGGACACGTTAAGAAGAACCAGATCGGCACAGAAACGAAAACCATACGTTGAGAAAAATATGCCTTCCATCCGTGTAGATGCTGTCACCTGTTACGGAAGCTTCAAATCACCGAGGCGAAGCGAAGCGCGATGCCATGACGCGCTCAGTCCAGCCTGCACCTCTGAGCCAGCAGACATCGTGAGAGCGGTGAAGGAGCCAATCTGAGAGAGTCGAGCCTAGACGACAAGGCTAGACATGAATGAAACGAATGAAGTCACAGTGACACGGCTGAGATACATAGTAGACACACGTCGCGGAATTACTAGCAACAGACACTGGGGCGATTTGGAATGGCCTCTTGTCGAGCAGCGGTCTGCAGCAGCGATCGCCAAGATTATCAGTATTGCAGTGAGGAAAGGTGGGAGCTGGGATGCAGATGAGATAAACAAATGGCAGCTCAGCCCAGCGAAGCTTGACTGACAAACGCAAGCCAAAGTTCCAAACAGCCTGGCGAGGCCAATATAAGACTAGACTAAGCTGTGTCAGGTAAAGCTACGCTTGGACCAGCGCATACCAGCTCTGCTGCAACGAAGATCAGCTGCGCTCAGATATACTGAGCTGACGGAAGGCCAACTCGAGCTGACACAAGCAAGACCGAAACCAGGTTACGGGAAATCAGGATGGGTGCGATACATCCATGTCCGCGCAGCTACGTGAACGCATGCTCACTCTGTGGTTTGCCTGGTTGCCTCCCTGCTTGTGTCACGAATGCTCCTCCAGTTCAATTATCATGGCCACCCATCTACGCATCGTTTCTACATGCGCGGGTGGGGGCACAGAGAAGCTGAACAAAACATAGAATTAGAAATTCCACCAGAATGGAAGTGGCCAGGGCAGGCAAAACTAGAACGGGCTGAAACGATCCCAAAACTGTTGGGACCAGGTCTCCAGTGCTGGAACAAGTGGAGGGGAAACTGGCCAGGGCTGGAAAGGATGGAAGGGCTGGCCCGTGCACTTTTCTAAGCCTCCCTGCACGCAAAACGTCAAGAAGTGTGAGGGCGTCAAGAGAGAACGTGCCCCCAAGGAAGAACAGTCATGAATAGACAGAGAGATGGTAAGGAGCCGAGAGCGGGGCGCTGGGAGCCATTTCATTCCGCACCAAGGAGACACGACAAGGAGACACGTGCTACACAAGCACGTGCGCCACGAGGTGCCAAAACATAGGTTGCACGGTCAGGAACTGTTGCTTAGCATGTCGCGGCGGCGGCCCCAGCGACACGCTGTGCCAAGCAGACAGCGTGTCGCTCCGCTCCGCGGGCCCGGAGGCTGCGAACGGCTCCAGACTTTGATGCTCTGGGACCGGGACTTTCGGCGGTGCACAAACCTCCCTTTGGTAAACCTCCCCTAGTGAAAACGGCCCAGGACCGAAACCGACGGACCTGGACCCGCAAAAATGACGGCCGAGATGCCCTCTCGCGAACCGAAAACGGCCCATTCGCTGCTCGCCGTGTCGGGGCGGGAGGTCCATCGACCTCCGAGACTCGGTCAGCGTGTTTCTCGCCGAGGCGAGGCGGGCCAGGACCGGCGGCGC